GACTTACATACAGATTCAACTTAAGAACAAACCTACAGTCCCTATCTTGTACGTAACCCGGGGACTGCCTGTATTTAAAGTGCTGCATAATCCTGTCTTTTGTTTCATTGACCATCCTGTGAGCCTTTGCAGAAGTAGTTGGCATGGCTGCATAGTAATTTCTACTCTATCTTCCCAAAAGGATAGTAATTGTGTAATTGCTCTTCCCTTTTACCTGGATTGAGCTTCAGAAACTTTTATTTAATGGTGATTCTGCCACTGGGAAACATGGGACCCTGCCCCAGTGAGCCAAAGGAGGCAGTAAAATGTATCTTTTCTCCAAATTCATGTGCCATTCACAGTTAATCAGTTAATGCCATAGTGCTACCCTCTTCTGGCTCTCGGATCTCCAGTCTCCGGAACTGTGAAGTGCACATTACAATAGGGAACTCCATCACAAAAGAACCATCCTAGCAGCCACAGATCACTTATTAAAGTGACCTGGGTGAGCCATTAAGCAGGAAAGTGTCCTGTATGAAAGTCTCACATGCAGAAAACTCTGCTCTCACCTATCCCTACCTCAGTCAAAGATGAAGAATGCAAAGAAACCACAGCATCTGGTGTCAGTGAAAAATGGACAAAGACCTGAATAGCCTGTGCATAAGGTTTTAAGCCAGTGGTCCCCAATCTTTTGGGGCTGCTGGGCGTCCGGGGGCGGGGCCAGTCCCATGCTGGGCACTGGGGGGGTGGGGCTGTGCCTGGGTCCGGGGGCAAGGGCACCCATACGCCGCACTCCCGGGGCCAGCGCTGGCGCCGGCGCCGCTCCTGTGCCGCATGCCCAGGGGTGGGGCTGCCCATACGCCGCGTGCCTGGGGCCAGAACAGCCCATGTGCTGTATGCCCGACATCAGCGCCGCTCCTGTGCTGCGTGCCCAGGGGCAGGGATGCCCACACATGCACCGCGCACCTTGGGGGTAGTCCCCCCATGTGCCGTGCCCCCGGGGCCGGCCCCAATCACTCAGCGGGCACACAGAAATGGCCTGGCAGGCGGATGACGCCTGTGGGCACCACGTTGGGGACCACTGTTTTAAGCTATAGCCTCAGTCTCCTCCCACAGTGGCTGTACATATCCATTGAACAGGAAGAGTCACCAGGATGGAATCCCAAGGCACTCGTCCCTGCTTCTGACTCTATAGTCATTTCTTGGCTATAGTAAAGTTCTTTATAATCTCTCTTGTGTCTCCCCTTGTAGCGGTTGATATATACTAGGTTACTCTTGCGATTGGTTCCTGGAATGTATCCTACTAGATAAATCAGTCTGGGTATGTCTACACTACCCTGCTAGTTCGAACTAGCGGGGTAATGTAGGCATACCGCACTTGCAAATGAAGCCCGGGATTTGAATTTCCCGGGCTTCATTTGCATAAGCGGGCCGGCGCCATTTTTAAATGCCGGCTCGTTTGAACCCCGTGTCTTGTTCTGTCCTCGTTCCACGAGGCGTACAAATAGTTCGAAATGGCTAGCCGGGATTTAAAAATGGCGGCGCCCCGCTTATGCAAATGAAGCCCGGGAAATTCAAATCCCGGGCTTCATTTTCAAGTGCGGTATGCCTACATTACCCTCCTAGTTCGAACTAGGAGGGTAGTGTAGACATACCCTCTCAGCCTTTGTCTATATGGCACTGGATCCTCCAGATTGACTGTCAAAGCTTACATTTGATAGCTCTCAGATCATGGAACATGACTCACCTGTTTTCTCAGACCTTTTCTTTGGTCACGTTGGGTCGGGTATTTCTGCAGAGGCAGATAAAGTGGCAGCATATTTATCAATTCACCTTCACAAATTATTTTAGTATGTAGGTTGTCATGTTGTATGAGGCAGTCAGGAGCTACAGTGAAGGAAGCTACAGAATTAGTTTTAAAAAGTAGTACATTAGGGTGTATTAATGGAAGTTTAATGTCGTTTAAACATATACCTGCAGCATACAACCATTAGATGTGAATATATTCTGTCTACAGTTCTCTTTTTTTATATGATAGCATCTATCTACACAGAGCGATTTATGGGTCTTCCAACTGAGTCAGATAATCTCAAACACTACCAAGTAAGAATTCTCTTCATTGTGTTTGTTTTCCTCAAACTTAGAATCATGTTAGAAGGGAAGAAGGGTGTTGTGGGAAGGGAAGAAGGGTGTGGTGGGAAAAAGAAATAAGTTTCTATCCTTAACTATTCTGTGTTTAAGTGTCTTTGTTGTCCCATGGGAACATATAGGATCAGTTCAGATAATACCTGCTTACCTTCAGCATTGGGAGGCGGGGACCCCACCAGGGTGGGTTTAAATGATGATGATTCCAGGCCACTTGGTATGGAGTGAAAGCGTCTTAATGCTGACTGAGGTCTGTGGTGAAATGACACTAATCCACTAAGTAATCAGATTATTGCTACTAAATAGGGGCACAGCTAGTTCCTAAGTGTTTAACTGAAAATTTCCAG